TTAGATTAGATTAGGTTAGGTTAGATTAGGTTAGATTGGATTAGATTAGGTTAGATTAGACTAGATTAGATAGACAGGTAGAGATAGATAGAGATAGAGATATGTATATATATATACATACATACATATATACATATATACATGTATACATATATACATATTTACATACATACATATATATACATATATACATATATATATACATTTATATACATATACATATTTATACATATTTACATATATACATATATACATATATACATATATACATATATACATATATACATATATACATATATACATATATACATAATACATCTCTAAAATGATGCCTGAATTGAATGTCCTGCTTCCCTTGCTTCCAAGCCTCGGCCCACCGATTGGCCGTCCGGTCCTGTGTCGTCAGGGAGGCTTCACATTGTGGTGATTTAATGATGATTAATTGTGATTTTGAATGGGGATATAATGTGTGCGTAAATGCCATAGTCACCATAATGGTTTATGGTCAATGATGGTGATGTTTTTTTCAGATTATTCCACGCAAACAAATGGATTAATGGCTTATGGTCATGGAATAAAAGGTTTCCTCATATATCATGGTTATTCCTCGATCCCTATGGATGTTTTCACCATGGCACACAGTGAGCATCGTAATTGGAGGTCTCTTCCTGGACTTCTAAGACAATAAATTGGGATATGATGAAGACAAGTGGAATGATTATCTGGATGAGATTTCACTGAGCAGTGTTCAAACCCCTCCTCAATACTGGTTAAGAACGGGATTTCCCCTTCATGGATTTCAGTGACAATCCCCGACATAGTTTCAATATATGGGCTATGTGATGATCAACCAATCGGTTTCTTGAACACTGCTCACATGGGCTTGTCTGACATTCGAAAAGGGAAAAGCCTAAAATCCACCTGGTGAGTCAGCATGTTCCCCGGAAAATTATGGCGAAGAATGGGACAGAATCAAGCAACTAAACTTACACAGTGCCATTTAATTTGTTTTCAAAAAATGAGTCTGAAACTGCGGCAAGCTGTGCTTCCCAGAAACTTGACAGCTGTCGATGAAGCCGACTCTTAAACCAAGAAACTTGGTGGATCCAAATGCCAAAACCAAGAATTCATATTTAAAGACAAAAAAACATGGTTTAATAAGGGATGTATATACGCATATATGGAACGATTTACTGTAGGGGATGGATTTCTGCATTCCTAGCACCTAGATTTTATGGCGTATCAAAGTTGCAACCACTTTTCTGTAAAACTCAAAGTAGCTGTGCGCAATGTGCCTTTCCAGAGCTCAAAGTGCTCAATGGGACCAATCTCTTGGAAAAGAGACTTCAAGTAGTCCTCAGTTGGGTATGGTATGGCTGAAAAAACGAGGATCCTTCCGTGGTGATCCGGACGTGGTGATCCGTATGGAACGAGCGAGTTACATAGCGGTGATATGGTGATCCGGACCTATTGAGAAGGTATAAATTGGTCTTGTAATGCCACGGCCAGTTGGGATTCCAACGGTGACCTCCCAAAAACTTGACTGCAATAGTTTCAATTGTTGGTTGCATTGAAAAAATATATCAATCCATCATGGGTTCTGCCCTTGTAAAACAGCTTGCCAGATTACCTCTTCATAAACCTTGTGAAACCCTATCTATTCCCCTCTGGCAATGACTAGCAGTTTGCTATGGAAACTCTTAGTCATTACGAGATGGTACAAGGCTCACATTCCTCTGGCTTCAATGATCCCCATATTTTCCAGGCAAAAGCTCCCATTTATGGGGAAAAAATCCATCGTGCCTCCGGAACTCGACGGGACAGATGCGCGAAGAGCACGGAATAAGGATCGGTCCTGGCAGGACGTGGGGACCATAGGTACGGCTTGCCAAATTGGATGAGCATGATGATCGTTACCCTTATAATCTATGATTGTTCTAAATAGTGTCAATGTATATATATATATATACCTATATGTATATATATATGTATAATGTGTATGTATATATATATATATATACAGTTATGTTGATAAATGTCAGTCCCAAAGAAGCTGGCTACAGCAAAACACCCAACAAACCATCAAGCACCGGGGACTTTGGGCCTCGTTGGTCACCCAATGGGCAACCCAAAGTAGACATTACCCTCTGGTTTTGACTAACATAGCTATAGAAAATGGCCCGGGTAATAAACATATCTAAAGATGATGATTTTGACTTTGACCTATCAAAAATGATAATGTTAAAATGTTCAAGAACCAGAGGGTAGTTATCTCTGATTGTTTTAGCCAAGTGTTTTCTTTGCAGAGTCATCACAAATTCCGGAAGCTGAAATCTCAGAGACCCCCGGCAAGCGGCTAATGTCGACCAGGCCACGTTTTCCGCGATTCTCGGCCCGCGCGCCGCTCGTCACGGTGTTTCTTGTAGGTCCCAAACTGACCTGGCGCGGTCGGAAGGCCGGCCGGTTTGGGAACGATGGCGCTGGATCCACCCCTCCCGAAAGCGAGGAGGGCTGCACCACCCACACGCTTTTGGAATTCCTCACACGGCAGGAAAGTTCACCACCAACTGTCTATTTTTCGAGCCATCAAAGCGGACTCCGCCAGAACCCAGGTGGCAAGTTTTCCATTCAGCTGCCCATGTTGCCGGTCACACCAAAAATAGCAGGGTAAATGGCCAAATCCCCCTCAAATTTGCCCTTTTGGTCGAAGTTTCCCTTCGCAGCTTGGTCGTCTTGATGTTCTTCACCAGCATCCTGTGACCATCGCCAGCGCACACTGGCGAACTGTGTTCATCAAATCGCAAATCATTTTCTGTAGTAAAAATTGAAGTGTAGGATCTTCAGTAATCACAAACTGAAAAATCACTGTGATTTTTCGGGATGAATCACAATTTCTCACAGCATACATGGATAGCAATTTGGATAGCTCCTCATCTCTTTGGCAGCTTCGCCGGTGCCACTGGTGCTGGCACAAGCCTGAGCAAGGCGAAGAAACGGGGTCATCACGGTCATCACGGCGTCACATGGCAACATGGTATCACCATACGATGGGGCCAGCGAAATCCTGCACCAGTTGATAGGTCGGTGAGCAAAATCCCATGATTTTCTTTGGGTTTCAACCATGCAGGATTTCGCTGGCCCATCCACAGTAGGATTGTAAACCCCAATGAGTCAGCGAATCAGATCCGAATGTGGCACCCAATGCCATACTTGGGGGGAAAGGGCCCCTTAAGGATCCTTTTTTGTGGTGAAAAAAACAGTTAGATTAATGGAAATCCCCCTAAAATATCTGGGATTTAATATGGGTTATGTATGGATAAACCACTCAGTGGGGCCCATCCATATGTAAACCCTACCGCCACGTTGACTTAGTCATGGAAAGAGCTTGAGGAGATTGTTTTCTGCGGGACGCACTCCACCATCATCTCCGTTCGAAAAGTTCGGGAGTCAAATGGAATGGTTACCCTCTGGTAAACATACAAAAAACTATGGAAGATCACCATTTTTCATGGGAAAACTCACTATTTCAATTGCCATGTTCAATAGCAAACTGTTAGTTTACCAGAGGGTACCCCAATCCAATTCCCATGGTTTCCCGTTTTTTCCGGACGTTTTCACTCAGACTTCTGTCCTGAGTCTGTCTGAAAATTAGGTAATTATATCCATAAGATGACCATTTAATAGGGAAAATGTGGGAAAAATGATGATCAGAGGCTAGTTTCAGACAAATCCATATTTATCCCACGTGCCACATTAGTTGTTTATAATATATGAATATCTATAATATTATAATATATGTATATCTATAATATTATATATATACCCTATCCCCATGATATTACCAATGATATCCCCATGAAACTCGGAACATCTTCGTTCGCCTTCGCGGCCTTTCGTACCTCCGCATTGGTCAGCTTCGCCCTAGCCTTAACGCAATTTTTTTCAACGGGAGATGACAGTGAAAATGAGTCCAGTTTTCCTGTGATTTTCATGGGATTTATGGAATGCTAATTGATGAGTCAAGAAAAAAGACTCGAGTCTAAGATGGTTTAGTCAAGTTTAATCTATGGACAAAATAACAAACATTTTTACGGGCACTCAATTTTAACCAATGCCCAATTGATGGATAGACACTTGATGGCTGATCCCGCTGTCTCTGGTTGTCTCTGGCTGTGGAAGTTCAAGTACCCCCTACATGTACTGGTCAAATTCATCCAATTTTCCCTTAAAAATGATGAGTTTGGGGGGGGGCATGTTCAGGGCCATTTTAGAAACGGAAACCTCATGATTCACCGGGGACGTTTCCAACATGTTGTAGATTCTGATACAACATGCTGGGGATGTTTATGAGGATAGTTGATGGGGAAATAGTGGTAGATCACTGATTTCCTTGATCATGTTCATGAGGTATAACTTGTGTATGGCCTAAACAACGGCACGAAATGGGGCACCGTTGGGAGGACGATAAGAATAACCAAAATCAAGTATATAAATCTCCTATGTGCCGATGTGATACGCTTTGAGATTGGATCTGATCTACCTCAGTTGACTTTGGGCTGCTTTCAGCTCCTGAGTGAAATAGGTAGCCTCCCCCATGTCCACTAACTCGAAGAGGTTCGCTTGCTGCCATCCTTGCTGTTCCACGCTCAGTTCTAGCGCCTTCTGACGCTGCAGGAGCACGTCCAAGGCAGCCGGCACCATGTTGTGAGCTAGGTAGTCCACGACCAGCATGATGGTCCGCATCCCGTGTTGTCCTTTGGCCCAGGTTTGTCACTGGGTTTCTCACGAAGTATACTTGCTGGAGGTAAGCTCGACCCACTGGCGGCAGCACTTCGCCGTCGTTCTGAATCTGCCCCCCTCTTGTACCTCTGCAAGGTGAGATCTGCCAATCGATCTGGTTTTTCCAGGTGGGTCTTCTTCAGCCTGTCGATTCCTTCGGGGAGGCGGGCCATGTCAAAAAATGACTCCTTAGTTGAGCTGTCACTGCTACCATCTGAGTCTCCATCCTCAGCACCTCTGGCTCTCTTTTGTTCTCGTTTCTTCTTTTCGGCCTTCTTCATTTTCTTCTTACTGGTGCGCCTGAGCTTTAGCGCCGACTCTGCCTGCCTCATAGGCTTTCTTTTGCGTAGGAGACAGAAGTGGATGAAGACCTCCTTGTGGTCATCAAGTTTCCCGAAGGTTGACTCATACCACCATTGGTAATAGAGGTCTTCAACTCCCAGCATGTGAGCTCCCCAAATCATACCATCACGCTCGTCATCATCTACTCCCAATGGATCCTTTCGATGGAGTTGCACCAGGATGTGTCCCATTCTGGAACCATCTTCATGATACGCTGCTGCCTCGACCACAGTGAAGGGCGGCAACCCGATGTAGTGCTCATTGCTGGCCAGGGTGCATGTATATTCAAGGTGCCTACCCCTTTGGCTACCCCTTTCCCATACGTTCAGAGAGCAGCACTCGGCACCTGACCCTTGACCCCAAAAACACTACAGGCGCACTTCCATGACCAACGCACTATCCTCTGAAAAGACGGCTTACTTGAGCAAAATCTTCATGCCAGGACCCCTAAGAGGATCTCACAAGAGCGTCATAAAAGGACCTGCTGCTGCTGCTGGAGCGGATCTTACAAGATCTTGATACAAGAACCTCCCATGAGCCTCCGACAAGAGCTTTCATTCATACAAGCACCTCTAAGACATGGCACATGCAAGCTCCTCATGCAAGGACCTCCGAGAAAGGATCTCACCAGGATCTCCACAAGATCGTCTGTGAAGGACCTGTACAGGATCATGCAAGGACCTCTTAGAAAGGAATGTAGTAGGATCTCCTCATAAGGATCTGCGCAAAATCATGCAAGGACTTCTTAGAGTCTTAGAGGATGTCAGCAGGATCTTCACAAGATCTTCTCATAAGGGCCTTGAGAAGATCATGCAAGGACCTCTGACAGGATTCCATCAGGATCTTCACAACATCTTCTCACAAGGACCTCTAGAAGACGTTGGTCAAGATCTTCAACATATAAGGGACCTCTAAGACTGCACCATGAAACCCTTGCAAGGTCGTCATAGAAGGGCCTTCCAGAGAACTCATAAGACAGAGAACTCATAAGATGTCTTTACCACGATGCACATGGACATCTCCGAAGAGGCCGTTTATGCGAGAATTTACAATGAAAATGTCCCAGGCCAAGGCCTTGAGAACCTCGGAGGGCAGGCTTTGTGCGAGCCTGCGCAGTCGAAAGGCACATGGACATGTCACAAGAGCCATTCTATGCGAGAATTTACAGTAAAAATGCCGGTGACCAAGATCGGCGCACAGTTTATGCGAGCCTGTGCAGTTGAAACCCGCATGGACATGTCACAAGAATTTTTTTGCGAGAATTTACAGAAAAAAATGCCGGGGACCAAGATCGCGATGCACAGTCCGCGCGAGCCCGCGCAATCGAAACGCACATGGACATGTCACAAGAGCCATTTCATGCGAGAATTTACAGGAAAAATGCCGGGACCAAGATCGCGATGCACAGTTTACATGGGCATGTCACAAGAGTCATTTTATTCGTAGAATTTACAGGAAAAATGCCGGGGATCAGAGCGCGTACCCTGATCTAACCCCAGCCTCAACTTCTATCCTAAGAACCCATCAGTGTGAACACATTGTTTGGGGAATCATTCCATTTAGTTCCATTGAAGTTTCCCAGCTATAGCCGCCCTTGGGCAACTGGTATTTTTTGGCGCCTTTTGTTCTTTGTGCCTTGTGCTCTTTTGTTCTTGCGCAATTATCAGCGAGCGTCGCAAGCTTTGCCCAATTGTTTGAGAAAGTGCAGTGGAACATGCCCCGACAAGTTAATTTAAGTTGTCTAAACATAAGTACACATGTATATAGATACAGTAGATTGTATATATAAATACACATGTGATATATATCTATGTGTGTGTGCGTGTGTGTGTGTACGTAAGTGAGAAATATATCTATGTGCATGAATATAAACAAGGATATATGTACATTTGTATGTATACAACAGCGAAAATAAATGCATATGTATGCACATCTTTATATATATATCTCTATCTATCTATCTAAATGTGATGTTCGTTGTGTTATATTGTCTATATTATATATATATAACCCATTCAAACCCCGAAGTTCACGAAGCATACATGACGTGAGCAAGTTCACAGGGACCTTAACATCCCACCCCACCCAAACCCCGAAGTTCACGAAGCATACATGACGTGAGCAAGTTCACAGGGACCTTAACATCCCCTCCGCCCCACACAAACCCCGAAGTTCACGAAGCATACATGACGTGAGCAAGTTCACAGGACTTGAATATCCCCCGCCACCCCAAACCCTAAAAAAAGAAAAAAAGGGGTTTCGTGACCAGTTGCCTGGGGGGGGGCGTTGGGACCTAATATAGCTATTGAAAAGGGCCATTTATACTGGACTTACCCATTAAAAATTGTGATTTTCAATAGTTATGTTAGTTTACCAGAGGGTATATAGATAGATAGATAGATAGATAGATAGATAGATAGATAGATAGATAGATAGATAGGTAGATAGATAGATAGATCGATAGATCGATAGATCGATAGATAGATAGATATAGATAGATCGATAGATCGATAGATCGATAGATCGATAGATCGATAGATCGATAGATCGATAGATCGATAGATAGATAGGATAGATAGATAGATCGATAGATCGATAGATCGATAGATCGATAGATCGATAGATCGATAGATCGATAGATAGATAGATCGATAAGATAGATAGATAGATAGATAGATTAGATAGATTAGATAGATTAGATAGATTAGATAGATTAGATAGATTAGATAGATTAGATAGATTAGATAGATTAGATAGATTAGATAGATTAGATTAGATTAGATAGATTAGAGATAGATTAGATTAGGATTAGATAGATTAGATAGATTAGATAGATTAGATAGATTAGATTAGATAGATTAGATAGATTAGAGATAGATTTAGATAGATTAGATAGATTAGATAGATTAGATAGATTAGATAGATTAGATAGATTAGATAGATTAGATAGATTAGATAGATTAGATAGATTAGATAGATTAGATAGATTAGATAGATAGATAGATAGATTAGATAGATTAGATAGATTAGGATAGATTAGATAGATTTAGGATAGATTTAGGATAGATTAGATAGATTAGATAGATTAGATAGATTAGATAGATTAGATAGATTAGATAGATAGATAGACTAGATAGGATAGATAGATAGATAGATAGATTAGATAGATAGATAGATTAGATAGATTAGATAGATTAGATAGATAGATAGATAGATAGATAGATAGATTAGATAGATAGATAGATAGATAGATAGATAGATTAGATAGATTAGATAGATTAGATAGATTAGATAGATTAGATAGATTAGATAGATTAGATAGATTAGATAGGTTAGATAGACTAGATAGGTTAGATAGACTAGATAGATTAGATAGATTAGATAGATTAGATAGATTAGATAGATTAGATAGATTAGATAGATAGATAGATTAGATAGATTAGATAGATTAGATAGATTAGATAGATTAGATAGATTAGATAGATTAGATAGATTAGATAGATTTAGAGATAGATTAGATAGATTAGATAGATTAGATAGATTAGATAGATTAGATAGATTAGATAGATTAGATAGATTAGATAGATTAGATAGATTAGATAGATTAGATAGATTAGATAGATTAGATAGATTAGATAGATTAGATAGATTAGATAGATTAGATAGATTAGATAGATAAGATAGATAGATAGATAGATAGATAGATAGGTAGATAGATAGATTAGATTAGATTAGATTAGATTAGATTAGATTAGATTAGATTAGATTAGATAGATTAGATAGATTAGATAGATTAGATAGATTAGATAGATTAGATAGATAGATAGATCGATTAGATAGATTAGATTAGATAGATAAGATTAGATAGATAAGATTAGATAGTTAGATAGATAGATAGATAGATATGGATTATAAACCACGAAGTGGGGCCCGCACATCCAAGTGGGCCCCCATTGGGCCCCCACGGGCTCTCCACCGTCTTCACACCGCCAAGCAACGCCCCGGGGTGGTGCTTCCGTTGCATCTCGTGCCCAGGCCTCCGCATGGGAGGCCCAGGAAGCGGCGCCATGCCACCAGGCCGCCTGCTGGGAGATATCATGGATGTTATCATGGGAATATCATGGAAATCTCATGGATGTTATCATGGATACCAAGGATAATCTTGAAATATTCATGGAATCATTGCTAGATGATCATCCCACTATTTATTTACAGTGTCAGTTGCCAATAGTTCCCAGCTGGTGAAGGATTTGATCCACAGTATCAATCCAGGGTTTAGCTGGTTCCTTTCTTTACATTAGATTCACCATTACACCGAGGTCCAAAATCTTTCTGAAGAATCCCGGCATTTCAGAATTGGATTGAAGGAGATTGACGGAAAACTTGGAAGAAATCTGAACATAGCTTGTCGAAGGAAGTTTAGAAGTCAAACTTCCGACGATATGGACAGATGAAAAGCAGAGATGGGCAGAGTCAGAGAGAAGAGAAGGGTAGAAGAGAGAAGATCAGAGAAGAGAAAGAGTTAGAAGAAAGAAGATGCAGATGCGCGAAAAGGTAGGAAAGTCGCGAAAGACTGTGTTTTTCCAATGATTTGAAGCTCCGGAGGGTCGAAAAGTAGGCTCGCTAAAGCGGCGGGTGCAGAGCCAGCTGGCCAGATGAGAGATGAAAAATTGCACGCCATTGTGGCGCGAAGCACATTTCCAAGTCAAAATGTTAAAAACACTAGGGGTTCGGACCACTTTTGGAAGTTGAGATGTCAAAAAAGTGCACGCCATTGTGGCGCGAAGCACATTTCGAAGTCAAAATGTACAAAACACATGAGGTTCGGACCACTTTCGGAAGTTGAAATGTCGAAAAAGTGCACGCCGTTGTGGCGCGAAGCACATTTCCAAGTCAAAATGTTGAAAACACTAGGAGTTCGGACCACTTTTGGAAGTTGAGATGTCGAAAAAGTGCACGCCGTTGTCGCGCGAAGCACATTTCGAAATCAAAAGTGCAAAAAACGGACGGGTACGGAGCACTTTTGGACGTTCAGATGTGCTTTCGCGTTGCGGGAGCAAGGGATTGTGCACCCTGTCAAAAGTGAGCAAAACGTGAGGGTTTTGTAACATTTCCAAAAACGATGGCAGGCCTGGGACATTTGAAGAGGATCTTCAAAGATGCATATGCGTGGCAGGCGCAGTACAAAAGACATGTTCATCAGAGATGTTCGGAGGTCAGGGCGCTGATTTCCTGAGAGTGGTTGCATTTTGGAGCATCAGAACTGTAGGTTTGCCAAGATGATTTTGCGTGACAGGTGCAGCAGTTCGTATGACCTGGCATCAATTTTTCGTGGCAGGCGCAGTACTTTAGACAGGTGGAGTGGAAAAATCGCAAAACGCATTGGTACGAGGCTGTCAGCTCTGCACTCAACTTTCCATTTTTGAAGGAATTTTCGCAGAATTCATTGGTTTTTGACGTTGTCAAATTCAAAAATTGAAGAAGTCTCGCAGTATTGCTTCGTTTTGGATGTTGTCCAATTCAAAAAATGAAGAAGTCTCGCACAATTGCTGCGTTTTTTGATGTTGTCAACTTCGAAAAATGAGAACGTCTCGCAGAATAGCTTGGTTTTCAAGCTGGCAGATAGACAGGTAGATAGACAGACAGATAGACAGACAGACAGACAGAGAGAGAGAGATAGATAGACAGATAGGTAGATGCGTAGATCGCAGATACACAGTTAGATAGACAGACGAGATAATAGATAGATAGCTAGATAGATAGATAGATAGATGGATAGATAGATAGATCGATAGATAGATAGATAGGTAGATAGATAGATAGATAGATAGGTAGATAGGTTTCTAGATATCTACATATCTAGATAGGTAGATAGATAGACAGATTGATCGATAGATCGATAGATCGAATAGACCGATAGATCGAATAGATCGAATAGATAGACAGACAGACAGACAGATAGATAGATAGATAGACAGAAAGACAGATATACAGATAGATAGATAGATCGATCGACCGACCGATCGATAGATAGATAGATAGACAGACAGATAGATAGATGGATGGATAGATAGATAGATAGACAGACAGATAGATAGATCGATGGATGGATAGATAGATAGATAGATAGAGAGATAGATAGAAAGATAGATAGATAGAAAGATAGGTAGAAAGATAGATAGATAGATAGATAGGTAGATAGATAGATAGATAGGTAGATAGGTTAGTTAGTTTGCTAGTTAGTTTGTTAGTTAGTTCGTTTGTTAGCTTGTTAGTTAGTTAGTTCGTTCGTTCGATGGTTAGTTAGTTCGTTCGTTCTTTCGTTAGTTAGTTAGTAAGTTCGTTAGTTAATTTGTTTGTTTGTTATATAGTTTGTTAGTTAGTTAATTTGTTAGTTAGTTAGTTAGTTTGTTTGTTTGTTTGTTTGTTTGTTGGTTGGTTATTTGTCAGTTTGTTTGTTTGTTTGTTTGATTGTTTGTTTGTTTGTTCGCTTGTTCGTTCGTTAGTTAGTTAGTCAGATTGAAAGATAGATAGATGATAGAAAGATAGATAGATAGATAGGTAGGTAGGTAGGTAGGTAGTCAGAGAAAGAGAAAGAAAGAGAGATAAACAGAGAGAAAGAGTGAGAGAGATCAACCGCCTTTCGATCCATCAGTGGCTTCGCTCTGCCTTCCCTGATTCACAACAACCAACCTCTCCTATAGGTTTCCTATTTTTGAAACTTCCGCCACCGCCTTGTGCGGTACTACTGGTATACATGGTTCCACATTTAAAAAAAAACGCTCTTTCCAACAGGCTGGATAAATTGGAATATTCACCAACCTCAAAGGTTCGGCCATACAATGAGTTCAGTCACGTTGCAATGAGGTCGCTATTAGATTCATCTCTTTTCAGGTGACAGTACCTGGATAAGTATCTCAATTTGTAAGTGGCGTGTGACCCATATAATTCTATATACATATGAAGTTATGAAGTGAGTTATACTATGCTTTCCACCCACGGCTCTGATGCCGGTGATACATTCGGCCCTCCTCTGCGCTTCGGCGCGGTGCGCTTCGCTGGCTTAGCTGGCTTCGCTCCGCGCTAATCAGGGTTGCCTGGCGCTAATCAGCCATGGCCTGATAAGCTCTGTGAAATCACCAGAAGGTAATAACATATCCTCAATTTAGCCATGTCCTCAATTTTGCCATGGCTTTATTTTTTTAAACATGTTCTCAATTTAGCCATGGCGGTGTGTTTGTCCCTGGCTGGAATCTTCAAAAAAGTCCTTGCATGTTCCACACGTTTGATCACCAAACACATGGAGCTCGAAGCTTCAAAAACAGAGCCCGTGAAAACACGGCGAGTTCAGCCGGGAAAATGCCGGAAAATGTTCATCCCAGCCCTGCCAGCCCTGCCTTGGGATGGCTTCTGGCCCACTTAACCTCAGTGACACGAGAGTGACCCTAAACCCAGCAGCAGTTTGCAAGGCCCGCCCAGCCTCATCAGGACGTGGCCATTCAGAGTTCCAGTCCTCCTCCTCCTCAAAAAATTCAGGATGCTGCCCTTGGTAAAGATGGAGTTAATAGGGCCAAAAATATGTTGAAAGCCCCTCCATTCCTCGAAATTCACCCAGATATTCGGTACACATTGACATGATAGAAACCTTCACTGAAACACCAGAAACCTTCAGTCACACCGGTGGCTGGCATCATCAAAAATGAAGGCCTAAGAGTGGCCATTGAGTCAGTAAGGAACCTCAAATTTCAGAGAAATAGGTTTCATGAAAAATCTTAAATCCTGGAAAAATCACTGGTGTAACCCCAAAGTCTCAAAAACAAAAACTGCACGGAAGCTGCCAAGTGATGCCAACGATATCCCTGTCCTCCCAGTGTTGCTGGCTCCAGTTCCTGATTTGCTCCTCAGGTTTAGAGACTATGAATATAGCAAGCTGATGACCAGGTCGTGCCCCCGAACGTTACAAGTTGCTTGGAAAGTGTCATGGGAAGGGATGACCACCATAAACCCAACAGTTCACCCAGTGAACTAAACCAACTCAGCCAAACTGGGACACCACCCTGTGGCAATGTGGCAATGTGCAAAAAAAACAGTTTTTTTTGGGAAAGCGCGTCCAAAAGCCGGACACTTCCCCTTGGTTGGATTACCTTGAAGGCTGCATTGTCATAGAATCCTCTTCATATCCCTCAACCAGAACCAGTCAAATATAGCCATTGGTCACACGATGGTTTTCGACTTCAAGCCCGAATCAACAAGTGGAGTCCCTTAGCTTGTCACTCTTTTTCCAGGCCACATTCCAGTTTTCTGCTGATGGTCAAATCCCAGTTTGGGAGGCTTCCAAGGCCTGAATCAACAAAAAATGACGAGATAGATCAGAACCCCCAATCATGTGGTGATTTGACTCATGCAATCATACTAACCATAAATCTCAAAACCCATCATCAAACCAGTAAAAAAAAATCCTGGATACTATTCACATGAAATTTACCTCCACATTTCTTGTGGATCGGTGGACTCCGATTAACTGCTTGGTGCTATACCTACCCCTCTGGAAAATATTTTATAGTCACTTGGGATGATTATTCCATATATATATGAAATGGAAAGTCATAAAATTCATGTTCCAAAGCACCAACCAGTTCATTTTTCGGTGAATCTGGCTTTGTTTTATGGTTACCAGATGTTACCAGCCTCATCTGGTAACCACCGCTCCTTGATTCGTTCCGATTCCTCCTTTGCCAAGCGTGACTCCTCCAGCAGACGCCTGGTTTCCTCCTTGGCCTCCAAACCTGGGTTTTTTTTCGGGGAGATCCTGGGGCCAGGGAGCCCCTTTTAGTAGCCCCTGGTTGTAGCCCTGGTTACTTTTGTTGGAAAATCCGATGATTTATGGATGAGAACTGGGGGTACCCCCACTTTTTTGGAAACCTCTATTTTTTGGTGTGAAAAATTGATGGGAATAGACTTGTTTTTCTTGCTTTAGAACCACATAAAATAACCATCAAAGTAGGGATTTAGTGGGGAGATTTAAGGATTTTTTGTCGTGAGATTCATGGAGCTGAAAAATTGGATGACCAAAAAACAGGGTATACCGAAGTTATTTACTGGAAAATGCTGGGGAATTTTGAACAAAGAATGATTGACCCTGAACCATTTAATGGTCCATCATCCATTACGTGCTAATCATTATGCAGTAATGATTAATCGAAATAATAACGATCATAGTGAATCACAATGTAATTTAAAAATATAATTTATAACAATGATGATCAATAATGGACTAGTAACAAATAATAATGATACCACTCAATAATAAAGACTCAGTATAATGACACGATTACAATATAATGGAGGGATGGTGATTAATAATGAATGATGATTCATGAGTTTAAATGAGTCATGATTAATTACAATCTATTGTGATGAATAATGGATAGAATACCATAGTGTAATGGGAAAATGAGGATCAAAGATGTTTGATGATTGGAAAATGATTCAAAATGACAATAATAATACACCTTACCGGGCGAGGCCCCCAGGTTATGTGAACGTTGGTGGTGATAATTACCATAAAGCCAAACGTGATTGAGTTTGTTCATTCAACTTAGCTATCGTTGACCCCACCTTCTAGCCTCCATGAATTATGTTCGTATGACATCTGGTTGGTGGTTGACCTACCCCTCTGAAAAATATGAAAGTCAGTTGTGATGATTATTCCCAATATATGGATATGGAAAAATAAAAAATGTTCCAAACCACCAACCAGACATCTATCTGAATGAACCGAACTATTGCACAAATCATTGGATCTATGTCTCTTATTTCTCAGTCCAATTCTGGATGAATTATGGAAATCCACCAAACTGAAAAGCTCGCCATGTTTCTAATTATTTTCAGATATTATGGGAGAAATGGCGAAACAAGAAGTAAATAGTATTTGATAGGGGATATCATGGGGACAGTGAACCACCCATGTTATGGGGGTAGATTATACTGATATCATGGGATACATAAACAACCCGCCGGACCGGAAACCGTTCCCATAAAACGCATGTTTTTCTAAAAAATGGTGATTTTACCACAGTGCCGTGCTGATTTGATGATTGGAAATCCTGGAAAAACTTGGGGCGCGTTTTTTGGCTTTTCAGCGTCATCGCTGCAACGCATGCGTAGCAACATGTCACGTAGTCAGCGATCCCAGAGATCTTAGCAGCGTAGCAACATGTAACGTCGTAAACGATCCCAGAGATCTTAGCAGCATGGCAATATATCATGTACGAAGTACAAGGAACGTTAACATGCCCCCCCACCCCACCCCACCCCACCCCAACCCACACTAGAGACCTCAGCAGCGTAGCAACATGTCACGTAGTAAACGATCCCAGAGATCTTAGCATGGTCACGCGCGGATTCGGAAACTAGAACCGCGGATTCGGAAACTAACGGGCACGCGGATTCGGAAACTAAGATTCGGAAACTAGGATTCGGAAACTAGGATTCGGAAACTAACAGACACGGATTCGGAAACTAAGATTCGGAAACAAAAAAGAGAGGATTCGGAAACTATGGAGGACGGGGATTCGGAAACTGTGATTCGGAAACTAAAAGCGCAGATTCGGAAACGAAAACCGTGGATTCGGAAACTAAAACCGCAGATTCGGAAACTAAAACCGCAGATTCGGAAACTGACGCAGACGCGGATTCGGAAATTGTGATTCGGAAACTAAAACCGCGGATTCGAAAACTAGGATTCGGAAACCCCAAGCGCGGATTCGGAAACTAAAAACCGCGGAAGTGTCCGATGATATCAACATTCCCACCCCCATGGAACGTCAAATTGACTTGGACTTTCCACAAGGATCAGATGATATCAAAATTCCCATCCCCATGGAACTTCAAATTGACTTGGAATGTCCACAAGGAAAAGATGATATCAAAGTTCCCACCGAATTTTAGTGTCCGAATCTTCGTTAGTGTTAGTGTCCGAATTCCATTCCACTTGGAATGTCCGAATCTTCGCCTCCGAATCCGCGCTTTTAGTTTCCGAATCCGCGTGCTGGGGGGGGGAATGTTGATATCATCGGACCCTTGTGGACATTCCAAGTCAATGTGAAGTTCCATGGGGGTGGGAATTTTGATATCATCTGATCCTTGTGTAAAGTCCAAGTCAATTTGAAGTTCCATGGGGGTGGGAATTGTGATATCATCTGATCCTTGTGGACATTCCAAATCAATGTGAAGTTCCATGGGGGTGGGAATTTTGATATCATCTGATCCTTGTGGACATTCCATATCAATGTGAAGTTCCACGGGGGTGGGAATTTTGATATCATCTTATCCTTGTGGACAATGCAAATCAATGTGAAGTTCCACGGGGGTGGGAATTTTGATATCATCTGATCCTTGTGGACAGTCCAAATCAATGTGAAGTTCCATGGGGGTGGGAATTTTGATATCATCTTATCCTTGTGGACAATGCAAATCACTGTGAAGTTTCACGGGGGTGGGAATTTTGATATCACCTTATCCTTGTGGACATTCCAAGTCAATGTGGGGGTGGGAATTTTAAGATCATCTTATCCTTGTGGACAGTCCAAGTCAATGCGAAGGTCCACGGGGGTGGGAATTTTGATATCATCTTATCCTTGTGGACATTCCAAGTCAATGTGGGGGTGGGAATTTTGAGATCATCTTATCCTTGTGGACAGTCCAAGTCAATGTGAAGTTCCACGGGGGTGGGAGTTTTGATATCATCTTTTCCTTGTGGACATTCCAACTTAATTTGAAGTTCCATGGGGGTGGGAATTTTGATATCATCTGATCCTCGAGGAAAGTCTATGTCAATTTGAATTTCCATGGGGGGGGATGTTGATATCATAGGACCCTTGTGGACATTCCAAGTCAATGTGAAGTTCCATGGGGGTGGGAATTTTAATATCATCTGATCCTTGTGTAAAGTCCAAGTCAATTTGAAGTTCCATGGGGGTGGGAATTGTGATATCATCTGATCCTTGTGGACATTCCAAATCAATGTGAAGTTCCATGGGGGTGGGAATTTTGATATCATCTGATCCTTGTGGACAGTCCAAATCAATGTGAAGTTCCATGGGGGTGGGAATTGTGATATCATCTTATCCTTGTGGACAATGCAAATCAATGTGAAGTTCCACGGGGGTGGGAATTTTGATATCATCTGATCCTTGTGGACATTCCAAATCAATGTGAAGTTCCATGGGGGTGGGAATTTTGATATCATCTTATCCTTGTGGACAATGCAAATCACTGTGAAGTTCCATGGGGGTGGGAATTTTGATATCATCTTTCTTATCCTTGTGGACATTCCAAGTCAATGTGGGGGTGGGAATTTTGAGATCATCTTATCCTTGTGGACATTCCAAGTCAATGTGAAGGTCCACGGGGGTGGGAATTTTGATATCATCTTATCCTTGTGGACATTCCAAGTCAATGTGGGGGTGGGAATTTTGAGATCATCTTATCCTTGTGGACAGTCCAAGTCAATGTGAAGTTCCACGGGGGTGGGAATTGTGATATCATCTTATCCTTGTGCACAGTCCAAGTCAATGTGAAGTTCCACGGGGGTGGGAATTTTGATATCATCTTATCCTTGTGGACAGTCCAAGTCAATGTGAAGTTCCATGGGGGTGGGAATTTGGATATCATCTGATCCTTGTAGACAGTCCAAGTCAATGTGAAGTTCCACGGGGGTGGGAATTTTGATATCATCTTTTCTTTGCGGACAATCCAAATTAATTTGAAGTTCCATGGGGGTGGGAATTTTGATATCATCTGATCCTTGTGGACAGTTCAAATCAATGTGAAGTTCCACGGGGGAGGGAATTTTGATATCATCTGATCCTTGTGGACATTCCAAGTCAGACGTGAAGTTCCATGTAGGTGGGAATTTAGATATCATCTGATCCTTGTGTAAAGTCCAAGTCAATTTGAAGTTCCATGGGGGTGGGAATTGTGATATCATCTGATCCTTGTGTAAAATCCTGATAGTTTCTAGATCGCGATAGTTTCTGAATCGCCTTAGTTTCTGAATCGCGATAGTTTCTGAATCGCGCTATAGTTTCTGAATCGTTGCTTCTGAATCCCTATAGTTTCTGAATCGGGATAGTTTCTGCATCGCGATCGTTTCTGAAGCGTAGTTTCTGAATCGCTAAAGTTTCTGAATCGTAGTTTCTGAATCGTGATAGTTTCTGAATCGTAGTTTCTGAATCGCGTTAGTTTCAGAGGCGTAGTTTCTGAATCGCGATAGTTTCTGAATCGCGGTAGTTTCTGAATCGCGATAGTTTCTGAATCGCGATAGTTTCTGAATCGCGATAGTTTCTGAATCCTAGTTTCTGAAGCGCGTTAGTTTCTGAATCGCAATAGTTTCTGAATCGGTGGAAATAGTTTCTGAATCGTAGTTTCTGAATCGCAGTTTCTGAATCGCCGTTAGTTTCTGAATCGGCTTTGAACCATCTTAGCAGCATGGCAATATATCATGTACGAAGTAAAAGCAACGTTAACATGCCCCCCCACCCCACCCCACCCCACCCCAACCCACAATCGCGATATTCAAAAACGTGCGTTTTACGGGAACGGTTTTCGGTCCGCAGGCATAAACAAGAATATGACAATACGACTTTGCAGGGGCTACAGTGGCGAAGCATGATGTTATCATCTTACCATAATTCATCTTGGAACCGTCGGGTATAGAAATTTGAAATGCAGCCTTCAAGAAAATGAGATGTATGTGACATTTTTCGTGCTTTTTTCGAAACAGCGTTCACTGTGAAGTGATAAAATTCACATGTTGGACGCCAGAAAAAAACTGGAACTTTGGGATTCGCCGATTCGTCGAAAAACAACCACAGTTGGCCCCCAACGAAAAAGCGAGTTGTGGACACACTATGGTGAAAACTATGGTGAAAACTATGGTGAAAACTATGGTTTATGGGGGAGATAACGAACTAGAGGTGTTGTATTCCTGGGGTAAATCTGAAACCAACCTTCACATCACTGCCATAATGCCGGGGGCCTTACCTTGCGAAAACCAAGGTGCATTCTGCTTGGGCCTTTCGTGCCAACTCCTGTCAAGTTCAAGGGGATGTAGGGGAGATGGGTTTTCCATTGGGATTTAGATCATGCAAAATGTTTCTTTTACCCGAATCTAGATGACTAGAGAGATATTTTTCAGATGGCTTTGAAGATGGGATTGAAACAACCAAACAGTGGTCGTCGTTTATGACATAAAATGACCCTTTGATCTGGCGGCACTTGGCATGTTTTTGGGACCCTTTGGGACCCCAGTCATGTCATCATTTCCCTCCTTGGCTTTGCGACATTCCAAACGCACTCGTTGCACCACTTCCTCAGCCGTTACCCCCGTGGGCGATCTCATCGAACTATTGCTGAGGGATTTTCCAAACGACCTGGACCCATGTTCTCCGCACTGGCCGACTCTGGCCGGCTATGGCAACTTGCCAAAAAAGGCAACGGTTTCACAAGACAGAAGCAGAAGTGTTCCATGATGTTCTATTTCAAGATGTTCGGGGGCCAAAATTCATCTTATTGCAAATAAGCCGTTGTTTAACATAGATCCCAAAAAAAAGGACATGTAGTATGTCATTTTTTTCGCCATGTTTTTCTGCCAGGCAGTAACGGGTAACAATCACTTAGAGCTGCATCCTGGTCCGTTTTCTGAGCAGTCCGACTCCCTCTGCCTGAACGAAATGGGCCATGGTAACTGTCGCATCGAAATGGACCATGGTGACCATGGGAACGAAGTTACGATCCATCCCCAGGCAAAACAGGGGCAATTTGAGGGGATGGCGAAATGGGAATCCAATGTCGAATGATTCGGTAAACAACCTCTGTTTTTGGTGAAGCACGGGTTTTTGTGTAATGATTGTTGGATTGTGGCGGCAAGTGGTGCTTCATATCCAACGGAATTTTTTTCTGAGGTTACAATCATCCCGCCCAAAAAAAAGGAGCTACGTTTTTTTTTGAATATTATGTTGTTGGATTTTATAGTCCTATTATGTCCTATTAGTCCTATCTTCTTGGTGTGAAAAAAACGACAACGAATCTGCCAGCACTTCACCACTCGCGCCGTCCCCGACTCGGGCGTCCTTGGTTTTGTTGGGCACCAACTCCACCCGCTTGCGCTTTCGGGGCTTCTCTGGCGAGCGCCTGGAGAGTAGCAGTGCTGGTCCAGTAATCACCATTTTTCATGGGAAAACTCACTATAAATGGCCATTTTCAATAGCTATGTTAAATTACCAGTGAACTATTGCTTCTCTCAACTACCCTCTGGTAAACTAACATAGCTATGGAAAATCACCATGTTTAGTGGGTAAATCAACTATAAATGGTCATTTTCAATAGCTATGTTAGTTTACCAGAGGGTACTTTAAAGAAAAAATCACTAAAAAAATAGAAAGTCGTAAAATCCAAATCTAAAACAGGGATCAATTGAACCTGTTTAAGTTATATTGTCTGGGGGGTAATAGAAACTATATAAGTTATAACTTGGTTCTACTGACAGGGTCTATGTCATTTTTTTTTACCATAGTAGAGGCCCCAAATCTCCCATTTCCGGGGGTGTGACTTGAATCCCGACATATCCAGAAATTGCGGCTACCAGTTGTGTTCTTTATGTTTATGTGTACGTGTCTTTTACGTAAAGGATAAAATAAGGTCTTATTTGTTTAAAAGAACATAAACCATACACATGTACAAACACACACGTTGCAAAATGTGTTTGCGTTCTCGCTTGCGTTTTGTTTATGTTTATATTTATGATTGTTTATGTTGTCTTTACAAAATAAGGCCTTATTTTACGTGATTTGCACAAAATAAGGTCTTATTTTTCCTCCAACATAAAAACATGACATAAATTCGCAAACATATACATAAGTAAAACATAAACACAAGGCAATCCAGTGTTTCACATACGGCTCACATATGTTTTCACGTGCGCTGCACATACGCTTCACATACGCATCACATACGTTCCACCAACGTAAATGTATATGTGTCATATGAGTTTTACATATGTTTTGCATGCGCGACCACTTAGGATATGTATACATACCCCCTCGTCAGGCTCCTATAGACGGAAGCCCTGGAGGCTTTTGAGATTCAGCTATTTCATATGTTCTATCCCATAATTCTGTGGTTAAAGCAGGTTAAATCAAGTTAAATTCCCAAATGTCTGTTGGTCACATGCGTATAGATCTACAAAATGTAGGTCATCTTTAGGATTCTTCCAGAATATTGAACCATACCCACCACATGTTTCATCGCCCAGATCATATTGAGTTACTTATTCCAGGATATCCCATGTTATTTAGTCATTATTCATCCCCTTTCTCCCACATGAAATTCATCGTCCCTTTGGTTGCCTCCTGTTCCCCGTCCGCAGCCGCTCCCGGCGCGGCGAACATCGACGCTCGAATCTGGGGGCTCGCCGCAATGGCTCGTCTCCGTCCAGGTAGTCCTGCCGTGCGCTACACCGTGTCGCAAGGTGTGCCATAGAGCTACCATGGTGTGATTTCACAAGATGAAATCACATGTTGCACGGAGGAAAACAAGATGAAATCACATGAAATCACATGTTTCAGACTCTAGAATTAGGGTGTGGCAAAATACTGGGGAAGGGATGGATGATCTAGCTGAAATGCATCATGGTGCAACAAGCTGAAAATTGCTGAAATGTCGAGCCGTTTGGGATGGTCTCATCATTCCAGTGCCCTGTAATTCATCCAGAACAATGGGTTGCTCCCTGCCCACCCCAGATACGTTTGGGAGAATTCACCCCTTGTATAGAGGTGCAATTTTACACACAAAAACGGCCATGATTTACCTACAATAGCTTCGCGCAACCCTGAGAACAATGCCTATGGTTTGAGGATACAATCCGCATGCCTGCCGGCGTGTTTAGTGGATGTGTTTGCTACTGATCTTTGTAGTAGCTATAGCTAGCCTGAGATCTCCTCTTCGACGGATCTTTGCTTTGGCTGTCCCCCCCCCCTCCTCCTTTCATCTTCGTCTGAATCATCCTTCATCCTCTTCATCGTCTTCATCGTCTTCCTCCTCTTCGTCCTCTTCATCCTCTTCATCCTCTTCCTCCTCTTCCCTCTCTTTCTCCTCTTTCTCCTCCTCCTCCTCCTATTCCTCCTTTCCTACTCGTCCTCTTCCTCCTTTCCTCCTTGTCCTCCGCTTCCTCCTCTTCCTTCTTCAGTTTTGTCTCATCTCCGTCTTGTCTTTCGGTGCTCGGGCCAGCCCCTAGGATGCTGCATGGTTTCTCAGTGTTTTACTGCGTGCTCAATGCAAAGAACATCGTGGGATTCCCAGTTGCCAGTTGCGGCAACA